TGCCTTCGGCTTTTAGAGAGAAATTATGTTTTAGTTCTGGTTTCGCCAACAGATGGCGCCACTTGCTTATTCTTGTCCAGGCTTTCTTATCTTATCTAAACATTATTTCCTATCTTGCTCATTTGCGGTTTTGAAGCTGAAGATGATGGTTCGGTAAAACCATCGAAACTAGTCCTGTGAAAATTTTGTAAATTAACGCTGATTTTTGTTCTTTGACTTCTGAATTAGTATTTATTCGGCGTGTTATTGTGTTTTAATTGGGAAAATATTTGTAAGGGCTTATTTCTGCGTTGGATGTCAGTCAGAAAGTACGTTGTTTATTTTGTGCTGTACACTGTAAAATAACTGTATATAATGAGATCAATTTGGAACGAAATGGGAAAAAAAAACCATTAATTGACTGGTGTGTACATGAAGGTTTACTAAGTACTTATTATAAGTGTTCTCTTTGTATGAAGGAAATGCGTATGGTTGAACATAATGATCATTCAGATGGCTTTGAATGGGTTTGTTGCAAGAAAGGTTCATGCGAGAAATACCACTGACATTCCAGAACTACGGAGGATATTTTTGTGAATTTATGTTGTAACAGCAGTATACATATTCTAGTTCAGATAATTTTAGAAAGTTTTTGGATGCTGTTAAGGAAATTTGTGAGTAACAGACTGAAGACGCAGAAATTTCTAAATGTGGTAATTGATATTTCCTTTTTGTAGTGCGTATATGCGATAATATGTATTTCCTTTTTTATGTTATTTCATTGTGTGATTTAAAATGCAGTTTATTGAGTTTCGATTGGCTAAAAAAAGTTTTCAATTTTGGTGATGAGTAACTATGTCTTGACATTGGGTAGAGTAGACTTTAAGGTACCCCTTCTATTATGGCGAAATTGTTGTTTGATTTATCGATAAGTTGTTGTTATATTTATGGTAGGCTGAGTAGTTGAATGTTATGGAAACCCTATTGTGATGTAATTGGTTGCATGATTCTGTGAAATTTTGAATCATGGGATCTTTTGTAAACGTTTTTGTGGTGTGTGTTGGTTTGATTCTTTAGACGGTAGAATGGCTGAATGTAGCAAGATTAATTTGAAGTTTCTGTATGATTTGGAGCGAAAGGGGAAAAGAGATTTAATTGACTGGTGTGTAAATGAAGGTTTACTTAATAGCGATTATAAGTATCCTGTATGTAGGAAGGATATGCGTCTAGTCGAACGTAAAAACCGTTTAGATGGATTTGAATGGGTTTGAAAGGAAGAAAGGTTCAGATGGTCACTATGTGAAGCGTTCGATCAGAAAGATTACCTGTACCTGGTTTGAAAAAAGTCATTTGAGTATATTTGATTTGATATAGTCATTTGATTGATATTTTGATTTTTATGTGGCTCTGGGTGTACGAAGCGAACACGAAAATCATGTTAAGTGAATATTTGCTTTTGGTAAAGCATAAATGTATAACATTTTTTTCCTTTTTTATGTTATTTTATTGTTTGGTTTAAAATGTATTTTATTGAGATTATGTATTTTTTGTTTGCCTATATTGTAGAATTGGGTGCTCCTTTGACTTTTTAAGTAAAAATATATCGATGCGTACATGGACAAAGTTAAAAGAGTGCGCAATTCTGGGATTTTTTTTAAAAGTGAAAATAGGTCGACGTGTACATGGATAAAGTCAAAGAAGTGTGCAATGCCATTTTTGTGCAATTCGGGGAAATTTTTAAAGTGAAAATAGGTCGACGTGTACATGGATAAAGTCAAAAAGTGCGCAATGCCATTTTTGTGCAAGTCGGGGATTTTTTTTTTAAGTGAAAATAAGTTGATGTGTACATGGATACCGAGTTTGTGCAGTTGTTCGTATTGTTATTTTGGCTTTGTGTAGCGGCGATTTTTGGCGCAAAAATCACCGCTTGACAAGCCAAAATAACGAGTCAAAGAATTGCTTAAAATCGGTACCCATGTACCGCCAAAGATTGCCAAGTTTCGCCAAGGGATACCCTAAACTATACTTTTACCCTTGACATTATATGACGTCAACATTCTCCTATTTTTTTTTTTTTTAATCAAAGTAGATTGATGTGTACATGTACAAAGTCAAGGGTGTGTGCAATGCCTAGTTTGTGCAATTCTCTGATTTTTTTTTTAAAGTGAAAATAGATTGATATGTACATGGACACCGAGTTTGTGTAATTCTTTGACTTGTTATTTTGGTTTTGTGAAGCGGCCACCTTGAAGTACCTTGCTGGTTTATTGCCAAAAATCCCCAATCTTCGCCAAGGGGCACCCTAAAATATATTTTTACCATATTTAATTTCCTAGTATTCTTCTACATATATCAATAGTGTGAAACCTAAAAATTCCACACAAACCTGATTTCGTTACAAGTGAGATGATACATTTGAATAGAACATGTGGTAATTCTGTGAGATGATACATACTTTAAAAACTAATTCTTAATTTCACTCGTCATCTTAAAAATTAACAATAAAATCACAAGTGTTGGTATACATATAACAAACTGCAGTTTAGTCTTAGTATACGGTACACACGGGATTTGGCGACATTATGATGATCAGTAAATGCAGTGTTTATGATAAGCAGTAAATGAGTATTTTTGGTGTCGGTGAGAATTTGAAAAATTGCACCAAGGCCGTACCGTAAACTAGGATTTTAATCAAAATGCACTTCAATATAGATATACAAAATTTATCTCAAATTATATTTCGAGTTTAAGATTTAAAAATAAGGCGGTGCCGTATAATAGAATTTTCTATCAATGATTGGAAAAGCATTAATTCATGAAATATAAATTAAATATGGTTAGCAATGCAAAAAAACAATATTAACATAAAAATCAATTTGAGACTCTTCTATTATTGGGACCGGATTAAGAAATGTATGCATTGTATTAGCATATATTTATATAGTATATATACACGTACATATACCACATGGGTTAGAGTAGAGAGAAGGGTAACCCTTTTATTATCGCGAAATTGTTGTTTCATTTATGGTAGCCTGAGTAGTTGAATGTTATGGAAACACTATTATGACGTAATCAGTTGCATGATTGCGGTAAACTAGTAAGGGTTTGTGTGTAAGTTAGTATATTGCTTGTTTTGTGGTTTAGACAGTAAAATGGCTGAATGTGTTAAGATTAACTTGAAGTTTCTGTACGATTTAGAAAGAAAGGGAAAAAGAGCATTACCTGACTGGTGTGTAAATGAAGGTTTACTTGGTAGCCGTTATTTAGTATCCTGTTTGTAGGAAGGAAATGCGTATGGTTGAATGTTGAAATGGCGCTACAGAGGATATTTTTTACTTTTATTTTGTAAAATTATGTGGTGACGCCAGTATACAGATTCTAGTTCAGATAATTTTAGAAAGTTTTTAGATGCTGTTAAGGAATTTTGTTTGAGTGAAGACATGTTAATTCGTAAATAGGGTAGAGTAGACTTGTATTATGGCGAAGTTGTTGTTTGATTTATTGCCAAGTTGTTGTTTCATTTATGGTAGCCTGAGTAGTTGAATGTTATGGAAACCCTATTGTGACGTAATCGGGTGCATGATTCTGGGAATTTTTGAATCATGGGATGTTTTGTAAGCGTTTTTGTGGTGTGTGTTGGTTTGATTCTTTAGACGGTAGAATGGCCAAATGTTGCAAGATTAATTTGAAGTTTCTGTACGATTTGGAGCGAAAGCGGAAAAGAGCTTTAATTGACTGGTGTGTAAATGAAAGTTTACTTAGTAGCCATTATAAGTGTCCTGTATGTAGGAAGGATATGTGTCTAGTCGAACGTAAAGACCGTTTAGATGGATTTGAATGGGTTCGGAAAGGTTCAGATGGTCACTGTGTGAAACGTTCGATCAGAAAGATAACCTGGTTTGAAAAAAGTCATTTGAGTATGATTTAGATTTTGATTTTTACGTTGCTCTGGGTGTACGAAGCAAACTCGAAAATCATGGTAAGTGAATATTTGCTTTTGGTAGTGCTTAAATGTATAACATGTCTTTCCTTTTTTATGTTATTTTATTGTTTGGTTTAAAATGTAGTTTATTGAGATTATGTATTTTTTTTTTTTTTTTTTTTTTTTTGCCTATATAGTAGAATTGGGTGCTCCTTTGACTTTTTAAGTGAAAATATATCGATGTGTACATGGACAAAGTAAAGGGAGTGCGCAATGCAAGTTTGTGCAATTCTGGGATTTTTTTTTAAGTGAAAATATGTCGACGTGTACACAGATAAAGTTAAAAGAGTGCGCAATGCCATTTTTGTGCAATTCAGGGATTTTTTTTAAAGTGAAAATAGGTCGACGTGTACATGGATAAAGTCAAAGGAGTGCGCAATGCCATTTATGTGCATTTTTTTTAAGTGAAAAAAAGTCGATGTGTACATGGATACCGAGTTTGTGCAATTGTTTGTCTTGTTATTTTGGCTTTGTGTAGCGGCAAAGCCAAAATAACGAGTCAAAGAATTGCACAAAATCGGTACCTATGTACGGCCAAGTTTCGCCAAGGTGTACCCTAAACTATACTTTTACCCGTAAATATGGTAAGTGGATATTTCCTTTGTGTAGTGCAAAGATAAATTTCCTTTCTTATGTTATCTCATTGTTTGATTTAAAATGTAGTGTATTGAGATTATATATATTTTTTGTTGGCTGCTCCTTTGACTTTTTAAGTGAATATAGTTCGACGTGTACACGGACAAAGTCAAGGGAGTACGCAATGACAATTCTGTGCAATTCTCTGATGTTTTTTCAAGTGAAAATGGGTCGATGTATTTAATCACAATGGGTTACACTGAAACAGCATAAATTTAACAGTTTTAAACCAACAAACTACATAAATGAAACAAAAAATTACAAGAATTTTTTTTTTGCTTTTTTTTATGATTGGAATAACAAACTGGTGTCATCCAAAAGAGGGCATGAAATATATAGATATTAAACCCATTGATTTTCACTAAAGAAAAGAATTATATGAAAAGTATACTTAACATACACTATATTCAGTATTTGACAGCCAAAATATCCTTTCAAGTATAAATATTTCACTTTTCCTTCAGCTTTTCCCAAAAATTTTGTAAGCAAAACAAACGTTGCCACACTGTCAGCTTACAACGATGTTTACTTTTTAGGGAACACTTCAGACACATATCGCTTCACTAACATTTACTCTACTAAATTCGACAGAATAAATGAGTATTGTACGAAATGAATTATTTTTAGCACAATTTTTCAATTATTTTTGTAAATCTTTTAATTAAAAACCATTGATTTATTTTCAAATCGGAAGCACCGACACGGGAGCTATTCGCCGGCATTTTTAACAATATGTTTTAATTTTTGGCAACAGTAAAAACTGTTTTACTAATTTTCCCGCGTAAAGATAAGTTCTTGAATTCTGTGTGCGTATGGAATAAAAAGCATGAAATTAATTATTGAAAGATAGCGTTTTTTAATTCGGAGGATTGTTAGTAATTAAAAAAAAACCTTCAGTATGGACATCACCAACGAAATCTTAGAGCAACTTGAGGAATTCTCTCTTTCTGCATCTGAAGAGATTTTACTCAAAAGTATGATATTATCCAAGCTCTTTTTCCTCCCCTTAATCTGTATATTATATAAGCATTAATTTATTTTTCTTACCTTTTTTTTTGGTTTATAATGATATTTGATGCATTTTTTCTTATCATTACTTTTAATTATTTCAGTGAAGGAATTTTGTTTTGCTTATAATTGCACTGCTGAACATATAGTCGATACTTGGGTAGCCTTTTCTGCTACAAAAAAATGTGACATGCAGCCGACGTTGGGAATGCTTGATCATATGGAAAAAGAAGTGAGTGATATTTGAAATGAGGTTTTTACACTGTGATAGGGAAATAATATAAGTAAAACATAAAAAGTGCCTTTACATTAGTCTTAAAATTTTCAGGCTTTTAAGTAAAGTGCACTCTGTTTCACCATGTCAACCATGAATATTATCGTAAATTTAATTAATATATATTATAAATTTCCAAGCATTTTTGTTACATTCATAAAGAATTAATGATGAATAGGCCTCTTTATAGCTGAGTAGGTAACAATGCAGAAAAGTACAGTGGCTGATATAAGTGTTCTTGCACTTACAAGTTTCAGTGAAATATTGCTTTATTAAAATAATATTGCTAGTAATATTTAAATATTGCTTATATAAATTATCTCTGAGAATGAGAATTTTTTTTATTGGTACCTATAAATTTCTCTTAACAAAACTACATCAATTTTTTTATGAACATAATAAAACTATTTTTTGAAATTTAATAGTTAAAAGGTAATAGAAAAGTTAGCACACAAAAGTCTTGTTACACTTTAAAGTAATCTGCTCATTAGTAAATACTAATATTTCTGTCAGTTAACATTTTGTATAATATCGTGCAGGATTTAGACAGCTTTTAAATATTTGGCCATAAAGTTCACTAGTTTTTTTTTTTTTTTTTCCCCATAATATCTACATCATTGTTCCTCCATTCTTCCATCATTACTGTTTTTAGTTTGTTTTTCATTTTAATGTCGTGTCTTCGTACTCTAACCTCTAATTCTCTCTAGATGTGTTTGTTCGATTGGGTTTAAATCTGATGAATGAGGTGGTGTTTTCAGAGCTTGTGAACAGTTATAGACAAAAGTAAATGTTGAGGGCCGTGTGCTTAGGATCATTATCCTGATAAAAAATAAAGTTGTGAATTTTGAGTTTATAATTTAAAATTATCTTTTAAAATATTTAATGAAGAGCTTGATTCATTATGCCATTAATAAGTACTAAATCACCTTATCCTGATGCTGACATATATCTCCCACACAAGGACATCACCACCATCTGTACAGCACTGCTCCAATGAAGGTCTTAAGTTCCTCATACAACTATATGCCCATCAGAACCAGATATGTTAAATATGCTTTCATCTGCAAATAAGGTATGATTCCATTACGTTTCTTGCTTACTTACCATTGATTTTGCAAAGGACAGCCTCAGCTTTAAATTTTTTGCACTTGCAACATCAGAGAATTGCACAAACTTTGCCTTATGGAATCCCTTGAGTTTCTCCATGTACATATCGATCTATTTTCATTTAAAAAGTCAAAGGAGCACCCAATTCTACAGTAGAGGAAAAAAAAAACATAATTTCAAATTATATTTTAAACCAAACAATAAAATAACATAAAAAAAAGGAAAAACCTGTTATGCAATTTAAGCACTACACAAAACAAATATCCACTTACCTTATTTAGAAATTCATTCATCTTCAGTCTGTGGCACACAAAATTCCTGAACACCATCCAAAAACATTCTAAAATTATCTGAAATAGAATCCGTATATTGGCATCGCCGTATAAATTCACAAAAATAAGAGTAAAAAATATACTATGTAGTTTCGGACTGTCAAGAAACTTGCTACTAAGTAAACCTTCATTTACACACCAGTCAATTAATGCACTTTTGCCCTTTCATTCCAAATCATACAGAAACTTCAAATTAATCTTACTACATTCAGCCATTGTACCGTCTAAACAATGAAACAAGCAAGTACTTCCTAAGCAACACACACCACAAAAGTCCTTGCAAAAGATCCCATGATTCAAAATTTCATGGAATAATGCAAATGATTACATCATAATAAAGTTTTCATAACATTCAACTACTCCGGTTACCATAAATGATACAACAACTTGGCGATAATACAGTGGGTACCCTCTAACCAAGTCAACTCTAAATAATGTTTTAATGTTACCATATATATATATAAATATGGTGACAGTAGCAGACCATAATTTTATTAATAAAATTTTACGAAAATGTTTTAGTGTATGATCACTTTTGTGACGTGTTTTATCTATGCTTTCTTACATTTCCAGTTTCAAAAAAGAAAATAATTCAGCTTTAAAAAAAGTTTGGTTTTATTCAAAATCACACGGAGATGATATGAAAAAATACTAGGCTTTTTGTTTGAATTCATTTCTGGGCTATAGTGCTTTTTCACAAACTCTTAAAGTGTACGAAAATTTTTGGGAGTCGCTGAAGTTTATTTAATTTCCTAATTGAATAGGCAAACTGCATTTGTGTTTCCCCATTGTAGTGTTAATGAAAGATATTTTTGGTATTTTGTCTTTCTAAACAAGATAGCTAACAAGTATTGTAGCTGTCTTATTTAGAAAAATAATACGGTCTGACCACAAAGAGTGCAAATCAAGTTGGCCGTCTATCAAAATACGTTGTATGCATATCAAGAGTATATATCTCAGAAAACTATTTGAATGTAACTTAGGATTTGATATGAGATTAAATTGATCGAATCACAGCTTTTACCTGTGTTCATCTAGTTATAGTGACCTGACCCTCTACTGATATCTGATTTCTGGAACATTACTTAGAAGAAAGTCTCATTTTCACCTGTCTGAGTTATAGATGTATGTTTGCATTTATTATTATGCCATCTGATTTAACTTTGGCGATATTAAAGGTACTTGGGAATATTTTACGTCAGATGTGTTTTTATGTAACAGTGCGTAAATGTTGTTACCATGCACTTTTTAATGAGCTTGACATTATAAATTTATGAATAAATTGGCAAATATCTGTGCATTTAGAGTATAATTATCTATTTCATGTATTTTTTAAATGCATATTTTATAGAGTTTTAATTATGGTGTAAAAAGATTTTTTAATGAGATACTTTTATTTTTTATCCATGAACTTATTAAATGGGTTAATCTATACTCTATGGTTCCACTTGGCAAATTGTTGATATTTTGTCGCCAACATCGGCACCAATTTCAAGATGGTGCCGATCCTTTTTGATGCCAACATCAGCACCACAAAGGGTCGGCACCGATCCTTCCACCCCCCTACAGAAAATCAAAATAAGAAATCAAACACACAAACTCGGTGTCCATGTACACATTGGCCTATTTTAACTTGAAAAAACATCAGAGAATTGCACAAACTAGGCATTGCTCACTAGTTTAACTTTATCCTTGTACACATCAACCTATTTTAACTTAAAAAAAAAAAAAAAAAAAATCAGGGAGTTATACAAACTAGGCATTGTGCACTAATTTAACTATATTATGGTGTATTGAAATCAGTATATTCATCTACACGTTGACCTATTTTAACTTGAAAAAACAGAGAATTGCACAAACTAGGCATTGTTCATTAATTTCACTTTCTCTATGTACACATCTATCTATTTTCACTTAAAATCAGAAAGTTAAAACAAAGTTAAAACTGTCATCTTAACCAGAAAAAATTCACTGCTGTCTTAACACACAGACACAAACAAATAACCAAAAATACGCAAATACAGAGTAATAAATAACCAAAAATGCATATTTCCTTACATAAAAACATTAAACAACAAAAATTAACACAGAGACACAAATGAATAAATAAAATGTTAAATTTTTTACATACCTTTTCTTTACTTGCTTACCTTAACGCCTCACCAGCATCTCGTCCTTTTAAGCAATTCAATTAAATACAGTCAAAAGTCGTTAATCCGGACTCGTCGGGACTTCGGCGATCCTGGATTATCGATTTTTCCGGATTATAGATCATCAGTTTAAATCTGGTAAGATGGCATGCAGAAATTATAAAATTAAAAATATGAAAACGTAATTTATGAAATAAAGAACAATTATGATCTAAAGGGTATCAAATTTACAAAAAAAAAAAAAAGCTTAATATTTATTTGTTTACTTTATTAAACATTTCTTTCAATGTAAGTTGTTTAAGTTGCTTCATTTTTTATGTGATAATACATTCTCTTTAATTCTATAAACAGACATCATTTCTTGTTCAGTTACAAAGTTCCGCTGTTCAAGCCCTATAATTGCTGTGTCGAGAATACTGATTAATTTGTCAATTGAAAATTTTTCGTTTTCAATAACCTCTGTCACTTTCTTCGCTATCGGAAGCAAATTATAATGACGAGGAATTTGATTTAAATCATATCGAAGACGGAGTACATCGAGATGAAATACTACATTTAGTAAGAAATTATAAGCCAAATAAAGTAAAAACATCTGCTCTGAAGATAAGGATAGTGCTGACAGATCAACTTCCAATTCATTGCACCGCAGCGTTAAAGATAAACAAAGTTTAGATAAACAAACGTTAAAGTTTAGATAAACAAAGGATATGCCTTTATCCTTTTTTTTTTTTTTTTTGCAGCAATGCCACTTTTTGTTTAATGGACTTCGAAACATACTTTCGCTTTGTAGATCCTTTACATATTAGTAAATATATATCGGAAATTCTATTTGACATAATCGAAAGTTCAAGCTTACTTTTATAAAATTGCTCTAACAGTCTGCAAAAAATAATAAGCCGAATCCAATTCGAAGATTAAGAAACAAAGCAATCTGCAACATAAACTGAATTAGATAATTTTAGCTTAGCTTATACCGTCCGTTATACATTAAACGCGCATTGTAAACGTATTTTACGCACACGCATATTCGCAACCGTAAAGGTCAATGCGACGCATGCGCAGAAAGTTTGTAGCTTTGAGGTCCGGATTATGGGTGTCCGAATTAACGACTTTTGACTGTATCTGGTCATTTCGGCTCATCCACTGTTAATAGCAGATAAATACGCATAATAGTGTCCAAGAAAGCCATAAATCCATTCCCTCTATTTTATGTACTCCTTCAGAAATTATTAGTTGTATCCGGAATAATATACTCATTTATAACACTAAGCAAACTTTCAGGCACCACTTTCATAAAACATTATGCACGTGCAACCAAACACAGCAATTCAAAATCTCCGGTTCACACAAAAGGCAGGGTTCGTATGGT